TGCTTTTCTGTTAAATTTTGCTATACTGACTGGGGTGAGATGATATCTCATAGTTGTTTTGATTTGCATCTCTCTTAGAGCTGGGCATTTTAAACATTTCTTCATGTGCTTGTTAGCCATCTGAATGTCGTCTTTGGTGAAGTGCCTGTTCATATCCTGTGCCCATTTTTCTATTGGATTATTCACCTTTATCTTGTTGTGGTATATCTTTTATAGAATTTCATATAATTGGAGCTACTCAGTATGCATTCTTTTATCTAATTTCTTCTTATGCTTTATTTTAACTTCACCAGTATCAGTGTCTGTATTAAGTTTGTCCATCATTATTGGTAGGCAATATTCCACTGTATGATAAATACTTTGGGTAATAATTTCTATGACATTTTATAGTTTTCTTGAGTACTATATTTAACATGGACTGTAAGTTTATTTTTACTTGTGGCAGTACCATGTATTGCCGGGTAGGAGTGCACTCCATAGAGTTTCAAGGTTGTGATCTTTCAGACGTAGATTTCCTTGTCTTTCTTCTGAGACACCTCTGGGTAGGTTCTAGCTGATAATCCTTTGGTTAAGAGTTAAACACTCATTTATAACACCCATAAATTATAACCAGATTAAGGACTGGTTTGATTTTTGTGGGAAACACAGAGTTTTAAGTATGTGTGGTTACTTCATGTAATGGAACTTCCATTTTATGTTTGTTGTTGTTGTGCCATCGAGTTGCCCATGACTCATAGTGACCCTATGTACAACAACTCTATACCCTGCTCTATCCTGTGCCAATCCTATTGTCTCTGACACACCTACTTCCATCACTGCAGTCACTGAATTAATCCATCTCATCGAGGGTCTTCCTTTCATGTGCTGTCCCTCCACCCTCCCAAGCATGATGTCCCACTCCAAGGACTGGTCCCTCCTTGCAAAATGTCTAAAGTATGTCAGACCAAGCTTCAGAATCCATGCCTCTAAGGAGCAGCCTGGTTTCATCCTCTCTAGGTTGAACCTGTTTGTTTTCCTAGCAGTCCATGGTCTATTCAATACTCTTCTCCAGCACCACAGCTCAGCACTACAGCTCAAAGGCATTAATTCTCCTTCTGTAATCTCTAATCATTGTTCAGCTTTCTGATGCATAGCATGTAATTGCAAAGACTATGGTCTGAATCAGGCGCACCTTAGTCTTCAGACTGACATTGTTGCTCTTCAGTACTTTGGCGAGGTCTCTGACAGTATCCTTTCCCAGTGCAATTTGTCTTTTAATTTCCTGGCTGCTGGAACCAAGAATGTTGATTGTGGAGTCAAGCAAACGGAAGCTGTTGACAATCTCAATCTCCTCATCATCTTTCACAGTGCTACCAGTTGTCTCAGTGGTGAGAATGTTTGTTTTCATGATGTTGAGCTTCAATCCATATTGAAGGCTGTAGTCTTTGACCTTCTGAAGCAAGTGCTTCAGGTCCTCCTCAGTTTCAGCAAGCAGGGTTGTGTCTTCTGCATAATGCAGATTGTTGATGAGTCTTCCTCCAATCCTGATGCTACATTTCTTCACGGCAAACCCAAAAACCATGACTCTGGTAGTGTAAATCTACTAGAGGCTTTGAGGGAATAACGTAGGCAGTCTCCTCCCTGGCAATTTGTTATTGATACGTGTGGGAGGAAATTATCTGTCTTTCTCCTAGGAAATAACAGCTAATGGATTCACATTGCCTGCCTTTGGGTTGACAGCACAACTCCTTATCACTAGGCCAGCAGAGCTCCCTTCTCATGCAATTTACAGCCTTGGAAACCTATTGGAGGGTAGGCTGTGACCCAGTTCTGACTCGACCACAATGGATTTCACATACATGTGTATATTTTGTGCCATTGGCTTGGAACAACCCATAGCTATACTTGTAGTTTATTTTCTGTGGCAGTAAATTGCATAGGAGGAGATTACACCAAAATTTTCTGTCTATTGACTATGAAAGACACTTTAATGGTATTAAATAGTATTACTTTAAAAAAAACTAATATTTTTCTGAATACCATAAATAATGTCTATTTGACATTATTTGTTAATTATTTTACCAATCTCTGAATGTCAATCTAATGATGTAAATTAGTTGCTTTCCTTTTACCAGTTTTGACTCTTTAAACTGACTTAAACAAAACTTTTAAAATTTTTTTAAAATGAAACTAATGTGAATTGTTTATTTTGACAGGCCTTTGGAAATGCAAAGACAGCTCATAATAACAATTCAAGTCGTTTTGGCAAGTTTATTCAAGTAAACTACCAAGAAACTGGCACTGTGCTTGGGTAAGTTGAAGTAATTTCAGAGTATGGAACATGTTTATGTTTTTGTAATTGCCCTATTATAAGTCATAGATTCATGAGAGTAGTGACATTTGTGTCTGTATTAAAAATTTTTCTCTTAGTTTTTTTTTTGTGGAAAAATTCGGACCTCAGAAAAGTTAACATGCATACCTCATAAAAAATAAAACAATCATATACCCTTTGTTGTTGTTGCTGTTATGTGCCGTCGAGTCGCCTGCGACTCATAGCGCCCCTGTGTACAACAGCCCTAAACTCCGCTCTGTCCTGTGCCAATCGCACTGTCTCTGACACTCCCATCCCAATTATCCCAGTCACTGAATCAATCCACCTCACAGAGGGCCTTCCTCTCCTGCGCTGTCCCTCCACCCTCCCAAGCATGATGTCCCTCTCCAAGGACCGGTCTCTCCTCACAACATGTCCAAAGTATGTTAGACGGAGCCTCAGAATCCTTGCCTCCAAGGAGCCACCCGGTTTAACCCTTTCCACAAAACCCTATGTATTTACTTAATTATTAAGTTAATAATAATTGTTAATAGCTTTACATATTGAGTGGGTTTTTTTCTCCCCATGATTTTGGAGCTGATTCAGATTTAGGAACATTTAGGAAGGATACAGCTTTTCCTTCAGAACAGCCTCTTTACAAGAGTGCTCTCAAGCAGGTTTCTTTTTCTATCCCTTGGCTTCACTACCTTAGCCTCTTCCCTGCTTAGGCAAGTGTTCCAAAACTCTTTTTGGGTCTCTCAATTACATGCCATCCTTTCTCTGCCAGTAATCCTAAACCAGAAGGTTTTTGTCTGTAGATTTAGGGTTGGTAGACCTGTCTCTTCCGGCAAGTACCAAAAGGCACCCCACTTTGCCAGCAGATACTCAGCTTTCTCAATGCATAGCTCAGGAGCCCACAGCTCTATCTCCTATTCATCTCTGGTTCTTTACCACCTGTGTTTCTGTTGCTGCCAGGTCATTTTGTGATGCTTTGTGTCTTCTCCTGCCATCTCTCCCTTTTCCTCTTGTACCATCATCTTAGAGTCAAAAAACACAACACAAGTTCCCCAGTGGTCCCGTGGATCTGTTTCTTGCTTCAACAGTGTTTGAACGGAACAGACCCGGCAACTTCCCCCCTTTCAGCCTCCAACTGCCCTCCAACTTCACCTCCAGGCATAACCTTGGCACCATCTCAACCATCTCCTATTTTCAGGACCAGCTAACACATTTTTTTTGTCAGCCCCCAAACCTCCACCAGCTATGAGCTCTCAGATCCGTCTAAATTATTCTGCCGAAGCAGAAGCTGGCGTCAACCGTCTGGTCAACTTGCACCTGCGGGCCTCTTACACCTACCTCTCTCTGGGTTTTTACTTTGACCGTGATGATGTGGCCTTGGAAGGCGTGGGCCACTTTTTCCATGAGTTGGTGAATGAGAAGCGTGAGGGTACCGAGCAGCTCTTGAAGCTGCAAAACCAGCGTGGCTGGTGAGTCTTCTTTAAAGATGCCCAGAAGCCGTCCCAGATCAGTGGGGTAAAACCCTGAACGGCATGCAAGCAGCGCTGGCCTTGGAGAAGAACCTAAACCAGGCCCTTCTGGATCTGCACACCATGGGTTCTGCCCACACTGACCCCTATCTCTGTGACTTTCTGGAGAACCACTTCCTGGACAAGGAAGTGAAACTGCTGAAGAAGATGGGTGACCATCTGACCAACATTAGAAGACTGGGTGGCCCCCAGGCTGGGCTGAGGGGCCTGTGGGGACCTGCAGGGGGGAACCTCTGCGTCCCACTGCCATCAGCAGCAAGCTTCTCTATCCCACCCTGATGTAGAATCTTTTTTTTCTTTTTTCTATAATTTTATTAATTTTCATAAACATTTACAGAGATTTTGGGCTTCCA